AGGGGGAGAGAGGGGGGTAGAGATGGGATGGGGGCCATTGCACCTCGCTACACCCATCCACACTGCTGACGATAGAGGTTGACAGGAAAACACAAATCGAGTCATGACGCAAAGTGGTTGATGACATCTTTCCAATGATTGCTGAGTTTAAAACCGTCGTCTCGGTTGAAATTGTGTCTGTAACTGTGTATATGGATGGCGTCGTGAACGAATCTTTGTTGATAGCCAGTCGGCTTGCAAAGTACCATCGTCTTAGAGAAATCAATTTCACGTGAGCCAGCCGCATTAAAGTAATGATCAGCCACGTCGGGAAGTGTTGGTCCTGCCGTGCTTCAGATCTACCTTATGTTCTATCTACGTGACTTTACCGAAAGAACCAAGAATATGAATTCCTTGCAGTCACGAAAGTTTTAAGTCAAAATATATCTGGAATGTTCTGTAAAATAGGTAAATTTCTAAATATCACTGTCCTGGTCACAAAAGCAAAGTTTGTGGGGAACAATCGCCATTTTCTGTACTTTTGAGGCATAAGCAATTAGGAAATAACCCAGGAACAACAACAAAATTGTGACACAGTGTTACCACTCCGAGTCAGAAACTTAGGCCCACTTGACACAAGCTACGCTCAGCACATGGCAGCTTTAGACGCCAATCGCTACTAAACACTTGAGCCAAGGGGTAGCGGCGGTGCAGTGGTTCGCGCACCGCGCTATGAACCTCACAACGCGAGTTCGATTTCTGGCCACGGACGGCTCACACCAGTGGCACAGTTATGCTCCCCCCCCCCGACCCAGGTTACTAAGGCGACCATCCCGACCCTGACACCTGCTGTATATTTGGAGTTTGTATGTCTGTCTCCCCTGTGGTCGTGTGGATTTTTCTCTGGGTGCTCCGGTTTTTCCGATCAACATTCAGAATCAACGTGTGGTTAGAGTATTTGTCTGCTATAAATGTCCACATGATGATATGCCACTTGGTTGAGCTATCGTTTGTGCTTGCCAGGTCTTATTCTTTGGTTCTTTCGGTAAAGTCACGTATAAAGATAAAATAATAAATTAAATAATAGCATACGACGTTTCGATTGCAACACAAGCAATCATCATCAGGTATAAATGAAATAGCAACAAAAAATCTAACCAGAAAACTATAGACAGACATATAAGCAGACAGATATCACCAAGATACATAGAGAGAGTAACACAGGTACAGAGAGGGAGATCGACTCTGTGGGGTGGCCTTAAATAGACAGAGGGGGGTGGAGGCAGAGAGAGGGAGGGGTTAGAGAAATTTTTTTACATGTCAGTGAGTACGAAGAGACGCGTAGTAAAGTACGCAGGTTTGAATATTAGGAGAGAGGGAGAAAGAACACACTAAATTAAATAACCTAGCAAAATATCGAAATGTTATGTAATACAACACAGAGAGTCGGTCAACACACAATTAACGCATAGCCTGGTCGATTACGTATTTCAAAGATTGCTAAGTTAGAATTTAAGTGTGAAAATTCCAAAGAAAGACAAAACATAAAAACAAGAGGAACGGAGACACACAGACAGAGCAGAACATAAGAACGACAAAAAACGAGTGTAGACAGAAAAAAGTACACAAAATATACAGGCAGAGAGAGAGAACAAAAAAACCCAGAGAGAGAGAAAAAGGTAAACTTGGAACTTCCCCGTCGAAGTGGTTCAATCTTAACTTTGGAGCTTTCGTGACTGCAGGAATTATTCTTTGGTTCTTTCGGTAAAGTCACGTATAAAGATAAAATAATAAATTAAATAATAGCATACGACGTTTCGATTGCAACACAAGCAATCATCATCATCAGGTATAAATGAAATAGCAACAAAAAATCTAACCAGAAAACTATAAACAGACATATAAGCAGACAGATATCACCAAGATACATAGAGAGAGTAACACAGGTACAGAGAGGGAGATCGTCTCTGTGGGGTGGCCTTAAATAGCTCAGTGGGCATTACCTGGTAAAAAAAAATAGTTTAGTTTATAGATTACAACACACACACAGATCACATACTCATGCGTATATTCAACACGGTGTTAGTAAGGCATTTGGCTTCACCCTTTCTGGCATTTGTCGGGGAGGGTAAAGCCTTTAAAAAAGAAATTCATTTTGATACCAACAAAAAAGGGTCCCATGTTTAGTATGGCATTTGTTTTATGTTGTGTATTAGTGTGTGTGTGTATGTTGTGTTAGTAAGCCATGTGTTTCTCGTTGTGTATTCGTGTGTTGTGTTAGTAAGGCATGCGTTTTATGTTGCATATTCGTGCGTTTTGTCGCTGCAAACGCAGTGCTGACGTTCACCGCGCACGTTCAAAACTGAGTTCCCCTGCACGGTTTCCAGGCAGCAGCCTGCACACCCCCTGTCAGGCTTTTGACCCCCCTGTTCGTCGGTTGGGACCCTCCACTGTGAACTGCTTTTCGTTGTGTGTCAAGTTTGTCGTCCTTTCCCCGCACCTCCTGGCTAGCACGGTCGGCTACGTACAGCGTGAAAGAAATTCAACATACGCACATAGATTCGTATATAGGTCCCTGCTACTAAGGCAACCGTGTGTAGTTATCCTGGCGGCGAATGCGAAACTCGCTGCCAGAGTCTGCCCACCCTCACCCCCGTGAGAGTCTCCGTAATGAATTAAAAGCACAACCTCGCCGTCTGGTGCATCGGGACGAATTAATGGCGCTGCCTTATTGTTATTTTTTACATTGGTGTAAATAAAACAAAAATATCCGCGAGCCATTAAAGTGCACAAGTGCGCATTAGTCATTCACTTAAGCAATGTTCTCTCTCGGAAGCAGCTTTCACCGACGCGTAATGCGTAAGGAGTCAGTCGGCACAGTGCGGCTTTACTGCTCTCTTTGTGAACACGCCACGCAAGCCTCTCCCGCTTCACCTCCCCGTCCTGTGCTCTCCCGTCCTCTTCCCAATAGCTCCGGAGGCACACCGACTGTGAAGGCATTGACCCACTTATGAGACATAAGTCTACGTTTTAATTACTACGGTCGTAGTTTTTAATTCAAAGTGAAGCGAGAGGTATCTCCCTGGCACCTATGGCCATTTTTCGGGGGGTTGGGTTATCTGCCTTGAGAGCTCTTGAGTCGATGTGAGGGTAAAGGCGCAGCCATGCAACGTACTGGCTCAGGCCGCTGCTGGCGGAAGAGGCCTCCACTGGTGGTAGCTGCAGAGAGCCTCTCACGAGTACATTTCGGCCTACTCCTTCAGGCTGCTCAGAAATCTTGGAAAAGGTGGCAGTACCCACGCTTTACCCCACTGCACGCAAACCTACCGATCGATCAACTGCGGTGTCCCCATTTATGCTGCTGGGTGGACCGAGGTGGGGGAAGGGGGATTTATTAAACATGCCACAAGGTTTCAGCTGCCACGCCGGGAGATTGAACCAAACTGGGGACCTCTGGATCGCAAGTCCAGGGTCAAACCTTTACACCATGGCAGCGGCATCCCTTTAATTGTCTTTGATTAAAGGACGAGTCATCTACCTGCCCAAATGAACATATTTGGGTTTGCTCATCTCCCACTTGAGAGCCCAGAGACAATTCCATGGAAAGTCCCGTGTAGCCAGTTACCCAGCTAGTTTGCAAAGGGAGATCCATGGTGCATCATCACAGAACAAGAACAACAAGATCGTCAGGGCAATCCGTATGGAGGAACAGGCAACAACGGAACGCGTCAAGAGGTGCGGGCAAAAATAGTGTGTAAAAAAACAAAAATGTACATTATTAGCAAATGAAACAAAGGGCATAATGCACCAAGGACAAAGTCATGAATGGTCGGAGAGGAGATGCGGGCTATGCGAAGAGAACTCGATCGGACCTCCGATTAACACGGTTGGCTACGTACGGTGTGAAAGAAGTTCAACATACATACGTACATGAATACGATCGAGCAAATTAAGCAACAACCGCCAGGGGAACATGGGAAAGTAACAGCAGGCAGGTTGGGTACCCGGGGCAGCAGCCGAACCATGTGTTGTGAGCTCGGAGGGATTTGAAATGTTTAGAGGTAGGGGAGAGGCGAGGGCATTCCATTAACGTGGGGCAGCAAAGCGGTCGAAAAATAATTGAAAAATTCCACATTACCCTGGCAGTGGCTACTCCATTCATAGAACGACCACCAAAGTGCTACTCATTTCACAAACCCCGAGCAGGGGGGGGGGGGGGGTTGAGCCTGGCCGTGCCAATGCCTCCTCCTCCTCTTCGTCCTCCGGGCGACACGACTGATGACGTTGATTGATTGAGATGACGAAGGGGAAGACGGTAGTACATTGAGCTCTACAGGGAACACGCTGTGTTCCCCGTTTTTAGATTAGTCCCAAAAAGGAAACGTGACCATTGCGAAATGGGGTGCGAGGTTTCAGATTGCTCTGAAATGTGCGAAGTCATCGGAAATGACACCGCCTTGCCGTGCCACCTGCGTGCTGCTCGTGCCAATGGTGGCATCACGCGGCACCGGGTTGGCGTCACTTTTGTTCGCAATGCAAACGATCTGAAAAAATCCCACGAGGAGGTCTGAAATTGTCCTGCTGCAGACTGCACATACGTAGGCAGCGGCACTGAAGGCTGTGTCCATCATGGTCGTCTTGAGATTGTATCGCGGTACCCAGAATGGCACCCTGAAACCGTCCTTTGTGTTTGTATGCACGAGGGGTGCAAGGATTCGCTTCCCCTCGCAATACGATGAATTGTCGCGTTTCAGGATAAAAAAAAATCTAGTATTTTTTGTAAAAATGTGTGTCTGTTACCCTCCGACTAAACCAAAATAATTATTTGACCCCAACGGGATAGTATGCTAAGTTGCAATCTTTTGGAACCATCCATCCAGACACATTTGGTCATAATTAGTAACAACGATTGGGTTGGTGTGACAATAAAACCGTCGACTCAGACTGGCTGAGTTGGCATGTGGGATACTCGTCCTCCCCAGCGAATTGGGAAGTTTCATTCAAATGTTTTGTCATTCCAGGTTTATCAACGCACGGCGACGGATAGTCCAGCCCATGATCGATCAGTCCAACAGGGCAGGTGAGGGCTTTCTCTTTTCATATCCTCAGCAGAGTATGTTGCGTTTGCCACGAAAATAATATCTCAATGGTGCTCTTCACATAAAATTAAAAAAACAAAGCACATCTCATGTTGTATCTGCAACATCATCACCATCATATCTCCGTTAACTTTAATTAGTCGTGGAGGCACCCCTGATGCCTCTGCTGTCAACTTTTACCACTTTTGCCTGTCATTCGCAGTCGATTATCAGTTGCTGTGCCGGCTGTTTCGTCCATGTTGTCGCATGGCATCCATCTGTTCTTGGGTCGTCCTTTTCTTTTCCGTTGTACGATGCCGTCTGATGGTGATGATGATGATGATGAAATTATAAACTCAACATGTTTTTATTTTACCAGGTAAAGCCCACTGAGCTCTACAGCTCTTTTACAGAAGCGACCTGTCGCCACAAATTATAGGTACAATGAAGTGGCTTGTCGCGTAGAAATTTCTAGCAGCCAAATACTCTAAAACGCATTTTTCTAAATGTGGAGGGAAAAACTGGAGACAACTCAACGTAATCGTGGGGGAAATGTGCACACTCCAAATATACGGGCATCGAGGCCAGGATCGAACCCACGAATCCTCCTGCATACCAGGCGAGGTAGTTAACGCCTCGCCACCACGGCGCCCCTGTGATGTTGGTGAGTCCGACCACTCCGTGTGACGTGTCCAAACCGCCATAGCTCCCTCAGTTTCACCGTTGCAAACAGTGGTTGCCGTTCTCCCGCCTTTCCTGTGAGCCCAGCGTTGTGTCTACAGTCGAGGTCTCGACCACAACTGCCGTTGAGGAATTGAATGATGTCACTTCTATGTATTTCACTTTACTGCCTCCGGGGCTTGGCGCAGGATTGCTCCACGGCCATCCCTCCAAACAAATTGGTGCCAAACTAGGCCCTCTTGAATGGGGCGCAATGATTACATTTTTGGAAGTGATCAGCTAAAAAGAAAAGGTTTCATCGTGGTGACGCTTTCGAGATGCATTATCAACAATCAAATAAAAGCAATCTTGCAGTTTATCGTTCACACACCAACATAGCAAACGAATATTGTAATCATTTCAAATGTATCGTATAAAACTACATTGTTTTTCAATTACTTCACAATGTCACAATCACACAAAAAATACTTTTGTATAATTCCAAGACAATGTTAAATTATTACAAAAAGGCCTACAATATATTTTTGTATATATATAAGATATATGCTTTAGTATATCGCTGAATGATGTTGATAGATAAAAGATGTACACGCATGTCATAGCTCATTAGTGTGCATTATCCCTTCAAGTGGGCACAAGAGAAAACCGCAAAAAATATCCCGCGAATATTCACGTAAAAAATCCCGCAATTCGTGATTAATCATCGCATAAGAAATTGTAAACAACTTTGAGGACTGGAATTGAATGCGGCCAGATCTCATTGCAGATCTAAACAGGAAGAGGAGCTTGCCGCGAGAGGGATAGACGCGCGGAATGGAGGAGGCTAGGTTACCAAAAGTGGCATCCAGAAGATAGCCACCATGGGGAAGAGAAATGCTCGGGCCAGATGGGGTTTCTGCTGCTGCTGGTGGTGGCAATGAGACAAGTGGTAGTGTAGCGGTTCGCGTGCCGGACAATGCTACGGACCCATAAATCCAGGTTCGTTTCCCGTTCGATATTATCTAAACCGGTCCTGGCCCGCCCCTTTGTCGACTCAGCCTCAAATGAGCACCTGGTGCGGTGTGTAAACATCACCACGAGGGAGACAACGGCGGCCAGGCGTGGTGCCGGCCACCCACTACCATCACGTGCCAGCCTTTCATAGGTGCTACTCGCTAACAGCACTTGCGCCAACAGCCTGTTCAGGCTAAGCGGGGGATCTTTGTCTCGTTGGTGGCAATGAGACTGTAAGTTGCAGTCCTCGGAGGCAGGGTGTCAACTGTGCAACAGCTGTGCGTTGTAGCGGACGGAAGTGATGGCAAAGTGTTGAGGCATCGCCGACGCTGACCGCTATGCCCGCTTGACCCTGACACTTGTGATAATGAGCGTCCAATTATAGATGTTTCCAGGTATCCCAGGGTAGCTCTTGAGCCTGCAACATCTCAAGAAAGTGCGGTCACAAGCACTTCACGTGAAGCGGCGTGCGTAGAACTGCGCTCAATTGCCACCCGCTGAGATTATTCCGTGGTTCACCCCTTCCTTTCTCCACCCGCGCCGACGCACCCTGATCGTTTCCAGACTCCGCACACACACGCACACACGCACACACGTAACCGCATGCACAACAATGCCGTTTCCCAGTGTAAACGTGCGTGGCTCAATGATTGTACGTAATTAGACTCGTTAAGAGGGCGCATTTGTAATGCGCGCTGCAAGAGCTGTCGCATTTTCATAACGTGAATGTGCGCAGCAGCCGTGTTATAGTTTTAAACTTTCCCCGGATTAATTTTTTCTTTACTCCACAACACTAGAGAGGTGAGGAACAAGAGGGGGGTCATTCAGTCCCTCCAGCTCGTTAGAGCGGGAAACCACAGGCAAGCCGGTAGGCAGCCAAATGTCGGTGCCAACAATTTCTCAAAGCTCTGTGTTCTTGCCAGTAGGGGTGGTGGTGGATACACGCCATGTGTAATCCCAATTGTGTACTTTATGGTTCTTTTTTTGGGGGAAATTTTAACTGTGACGCTGGCACACAGTGGCCTGCACCTTGCGAGCGACCTCACGGGATTTTATTTTTACACGTCCACCTTTGAAGCGGATGGCGCGCAGACACGTAGACACGGTTAATTAACCCGCAGTATTAATCAGGGCAGCCGCTGGACGCGAACCTCCTCAAAAAACAGGATGACGCGCTCCTGCGAGGCAGTTTTAGTCGTCGTATGATTTAACATCATTGTCCATTTTGTATGAGAATCAATAACAAACCAAATATGCAAAATAATAATAATTGAGAGCGAAAAAAATATCGAGTTGTAAACCCCGTGGGATATAAAAATACAGTATTCTATCGAAATGCTGTCTACACAAACAAATTGAAAATTATTTAATCAAAGACACGCGTACAGAGCAAACACAGCGTATGGGCAATTTGAATCGAAGATGTGAGCTTGGGTTCGAGTGATTTTATTTGTTTTGGATTTCCTTCATTTACCCCGCTAACATTTCCCAATCCGTCGATCCAATTTACCGGAGGGGAGGAAGGAAGAAGAGAAACGAAAGACACGGGCATCGCGTTGACCCAAGGAAATGTGTTATTTTGTCAAAAATGTGCAAGGGAGTGTGGGAGGAGCATCCCAGGCACGAGAGCGGAGTGTGGGAAAAGGTCAGTGGCATTTTCGGACTGGGTGGGCGGAAGCGTCCGGGGAAATGCTCCCTCGCCCTCGGTCCCCTGGAAACGGCAACCAAATAACAGCGGCGATAGCAGCAGCGGCAGGGGCAGCAGCCGCAAGAAACAGCAGCAACAGCAGCAGCACCTCACGCCATGTTTAACCTCTCTTGCACCCAGCCGCGTTCGCTGCAAAAAATGAGCGCAAGGGCTTTCTATTTTTTTGGTGTTCATTTTAATTTCCGCCCGTCCGTTCTCTGTCGTGATGTTTCATCGCCGCGTGTGCCCTCCTTCCCGCCGCCTCCGCCCCGCTCGATCGATTTGTATTCTCTCAATAATGATCACGTTGTGCCACGCATGTGCGGGACAGCCCTTGTCGTCAGTTCGCTCCGGCTGCGTGAGGCGCTCACCACACCCACGAGGGTTATGCTGACCATACTTCACCACGCCGGTCAGGTTCGGGTTGGTTGACGGCATGGAGTGTAGATACGGAAGCATAGAAGTACAGTACAACAATGGATTGTTTTTTTGCAAACTATGTCCCTCTGCTGCCCAAGACACAGCCTGGTCACCCAGCCAAACAGGTGCCAGACCCAATTCTTCTTGGTGTCCATGATGAGATTGAGTGCAATCCAGGTGATGTGTACGTACTGGACATCTGTGAAAAGAGCTGCATAGATGATCGGATTCCCCCTGTCTACATAAAGATTCTGATTCTGCGATAAAGCATTTACCACGATAAACTTTTATTCAAACGGGAAAACCTCGATTGAGGCTTGAAACTCGTTCTTTGGAGGGTTACGCTCAGGATGTTTGGTAAATGTGTTAGTTGCTGTATGCGAGGAGACAACATGGCAGCACCCAGATAAAACCCACGTGAGCGTGTCAACCGATCTTAAAAAAAAATTACTCCGCTAAATCTAAATACTGCTCCTCGTTCTCATTGCTTTCTCATTGCTTTCATGGCTTTATTTTGGTGATTTCGAAAAGTGTATTGGTTTAGCCATGTTTGTTTGTTGTAGTACAGAGTTAGACTGATGGCCTTAATCTAAGTTGTCTTATGGTTGTTGTTGTTTGACTTGCATCCCACTGGGATTTTTGCACACAGCGTTGGTGTACGGTGTTTTTTTCTGCAATATTTTGCTGTCTTTTCTTGGATTTTCTGTTTGCACTTAGTCACATATTCACTTTAAGATGTTTTTGTTCATGTTTTTGTTTTTTGTTTTTTGCGGTTGCACCCGATTCAAGAGCCGAATGGCTCACAGGGCTATACCTAATAAATGAACTTGAACTTTATTCACCTCCTAGTCCTGCCGCAGGTGAATGATTCCGCTTCGATGACGTATCCGTGTACGTCATCGCAACGGAATCGGGAGTCAAAGGCCTCGCGGGAGGGGGTGTGCGGCACAGATTGGCACCAGCTATCGTAGAGTGCTGCGGTCGTGTCGCTACACTTCTCCGCGGTGAGTACAACGCCTTTAAAAACAGTGGTGCCAGTACGCCTCTAAATAAAACGAACGCGAGCCTCTTGAGCGTTCCGAGACTCCCACACCCCGCGACTTGCCGACATCTCGGAACGGGAAGGGGACTGGCCTGGCCCGCTGGTGTTTGTTAATTTGCCCACCTGTGGATGATTTGTAACGTTTCGGTGAGCGCTTTCCTCGCGATCCTGTCATGGCCCTTTGGCCTCAGTGAGCCGACAGCGTCCGCCGGTGCACGAGACCACGAGCCGCTCTGCTTTTTGTTGTTGTTTTGCGCACAAACGTCACGAAGATATTCATTTATTCATTGACTTATTCATTAATTCATTCATTTCATGATTCAATCCACACAGCGGCGGTTTATGGCCATTACTGTAATTATGCATATTTAGTGCAAATTGACGCTCTTTGATTCTTGTTTTATAAAACGTGTACACCCGCCGACATTTTAGAAATATAGCGGCGACATGTTAGTTACATGTAAACAATAGCCCTTGTTCTGGGAATACAAATCGGTCAATGGGAGATCCCCCCCCCCTATCAGTGGAACATTCCAGTTATCCCGGTTGCAATGTCGCATTCCTCGAGTGACGTAAACCTTCGCCCAGATTCCTTGGCCTAGTTCTGTACAGCCATGAACATAAATTTTGATTTAAAGGTGTCGTGACTGCAGGGATTCATATTCTTGGTTCTTTCGGTAAAGTCACGTAGAAGGGAAATAATAAAATAATAAAAATATTAAACATTCAAATTATCACGATGTTTCAAATTTTCTTGCTCTGGATTTCACACCTGATGATGATTGCTTATGTTGCAGTCGAAACGTCGTGAAAATTGTATTGTTTTATATTTTTAATATTTTATTATTTCCCTTCTACGTGTCTTTACCGAAAGAACCAAGAATATACAGTCATGAACCTGTAAAGTTATTTTGTCACGGACGCCTACTCGACTGACTACATCTCTCTGTTCAAGTCCACACTCAAGACTCTGTTCTTCTCACCCACGTGATTATGGTTTCTCTTTACCATCAGCCCAATCCTAGTTTTTTTATTTTTATACCATGAATTGTTTCTTCTCTTCTTCATTTCCGCCCATAATCTCACTCAATGTTGAGCTAAAGCTTGTAAAATCTCCACTGCTTTCTGACGATGTTGAAATGTGTCTACCTAGGTGGAACATGTGGGCGGAACCTTTCAAACACTTTATGAAATGCACACATTCAGCACAATTAAACTCCTAAGTATGCATTTTTGTTACGTATTATGAAGTGTACATGAATTGAAAGATAAAATAACACTTTGCATTTTCTAAATATCAGCATTAAATGTGCTCAAGGTGCACACTTATTTTTACCGTCGTGCTAACAACAACAATGCGTTCGATTCCGGCTACTCGCCGGAGTTAAAGCGCCAGAGGCCCCAATCTAGGCGCAAGAGCGTGAATGTGGCTCGCGTGCGCTCGGCTGGACACTGGCTTGCCGCCTGTGAACGCGAGGTTGTGAAACAGCTGCCATACAGCTCGCTTGTGACAAACAGAGGCCTTTAAACACGGATACAGTTTAATTAAGGTTAGGGTAGGGCTGGTATCGCGAACCAGATGTCCCAGATACATTCTCGCTCAAATGTATTCAACTCCAGTCCTCGTGGCCCACCTTGGTTTGGGTTTCTAATTCAACTTGGCATCGGATGTTTGTGCCGCAGTGGCGAGATGTTAACGCCCTCGCCTGGTGTGCAGGAGGTCGGTTCCGACCCTGACGCCTGCTGCTGTATAAATGGAGTTTGCATGTCTCTCTCCCCGTGCTCGCGTGCATTTTTCTCCGTGCCCTCCAACTTTTCCCTCCACATTTAGAAACTTGCGTTTAGAGTATTTTGGCTGCGATAAATTTCCTCATGATGAGCCACTTCTTTGAGCTATCGTTTGTGGCCAGGTCGCTCCTGAACAAGAATGATATAGCTCAGTGGACCTGTCCTGGTAAAATAGTTTAAAAAATAGTTGAATCGCATTGCTTGGTGAGATGCATTTGAGCGGAGAATAATGGTGAATGTGGATCACTGTCATCTCTGTAGGATGTATTATCGTGAACGTTATCATTCATTTTCTATGGGGCGGCAGTGTGGCGCAGTGGTAACGCTTTGGCCCCACAGCAGGAAGGACCTGGGTACAATTCCCCACCCGGGCCTCTTCCTGGGTGGTATTTTTAAGCCCCACCTGGTTATGGTGACAGAGAGACGGGACAGGCCGCCTGCGCCATGCAGGGGTTTCCTCCGGGTTCCCTGAATTCTCTCCTGCAGCTAAACAAACACCCAAATTATTATTAATTATTATTAATATTTAACTTTTTTTATTTTACCAGGTAAGGCCCACTGAGCTATATAGCTCTTTTTCAGAAGCGACCTGGCGACAAATGATAGCTCAACGAAGTGGCTAATCATCATGTGTAAATTTAAAGCGGCCAAACGCATGTTGATTGTAAATGTGGAGAGAAAAACTGGAGGACCCGGAGAAAAATCCATGCACCCACGGGGAGAGAGACATGCAAAGTCTGAATATACAGGAGTCAGGGTCAGCATCGAACCCACGACCTCCTGTATGCGAGGCGAGGGAGTTGATATCTCGCCACCGTGATGCCCCAACGTCACAAAGCTGCAAGAGTCTAGCTGCAAATGATACGCTTGGGATTACGGAGAGCAGCGACGTCCGCCCCCTGCTATGAAAACTTGGCAGGACCCTCTTGAAAATGAGCTTGAGACTCAGTGCAGCTTTCCTGGGTAAACAAGTGGAATAATAACAACAATGATAATTATAAAATAATAATAAAGCAGCTTTACATTGAACGAGCTAATCTGTCCTTACACATGATGAGGGCTATCCTTATGCACAATGGCATTCGTTATGAAGATGGCCTAAAAACACACGCAATTATACAAGAATATAACAAAGGGGAATTATACTCCGAGACAAATGTCAGCCGTTGGGACCACTGGTCAAAACATACATTATAATGTCGAATCACATCAAATCAGGCTTCAGCTTGAGGTCACTTAGCGACCGTGTAACACATTGTGGTCTTCGTATACACGTTCGCTTTGACTTTGAAAACTCCCAAACGGTCGCGCGCGTGTTCTCGCTTGTAACGTCATCGGATTGCCCCCCACTCATGGCGCCGGATTTAAATACGTCCTCTTGAGATAAAATCGCGCGACGTTGCAAGCCGCAGGTTGACGATACTGTCGTGCGGTTTCACTCCACTGTTGATTCCGCCAATGGCTCTCAACTCATCATGCCAACAGCTTGCGACGCTTCTGCCATAATGCTCGATCAAGATTAACTTCCCGCGGTCAAGTGGAATCACCCAGCGATTAAGCGGCGGTCGTATCGCGGCGTAACTTTCCGTTTCGGTGTCTTGATGAATTCACGTGTTTTCTGTGGAATCTGCAGGGCATCGAGTCTCCGACTCGCTCGGGACTGAGGTGTAATTGGATGTGTGGAAGGGTCAGATATGTGAACGTCTTAAGACAATGACAGTCACGCAGCTGTGCACAAATAGGTTACGGGACGAAAACAAAGTGCCTGCCGCTCTAAACACGTTTGCGTGTGCTTTAGAAGCTAGCGAGCGCACGCCAGGTTAAGAACACTTTGCCATTACGGTGTCACATGTGGGAAAGCCAGATTTTTCTACAGAAATTTTCTACAGAAAATCTGTTGCACCAAGCACTGTTACTGCATTGGGTACGGGCGGTTGCTTGGCCAGGTGGGATATGCGACTGTCGGATATGCGACGGTCGGATATGCGACGGTCGGATATGCGACGGCGGAGCTGTGTTGCGTTCACCGCGCCACCGACGCTAACCCCCCCACCCCCTCTCCCCCCTGCCCTTCATCTGCCTGTCGCTCCAGTGGGACAAGGTGCATACAGCCCCGAGGGAGCGGCGATGGGAGGGTTCATCATGGACGGAGCGCAGCACATGGGCGTGCGTCCACCTGGTCAGCCCTCCACACCAAACACAGCGGATGCCGGTGCCCAGACATTGCTGTTCACTTGGCCCGGGTGGTCTCTCAAAGCTAGGACTTGCTCTTAGGGGAAGCTAGCCATGAGTGGCGGGATGAAATGCGCAGGCGAGAGGGCCTCCTCCCTGGTGCCCGTGCCCTCCACATCCCATCGGCCACACGGCCTCCTAGGCGGGCGTCATTTCAGAAGCGTCAGTTCAACACGAGCAAACGCTGGACCGGTGCTGTAATTCAGTGTCTCATCAGCAGTCAGGCATGTTTGAACCTCAAATTATGCATTCCCGTGAGGCTATGTGGCCAATGAGATATGGAACAAACACTTTTAAATGTTGACGCTACAGATATGTGAATTCGGTTTATTGTCGCTTCTTTATTGCCTTACGTATATTCTACACAACGACACGCATCATTGTTTGTGTTGTGCATTATATAGTTTTGCGTTGAACTGGGACCCATATTTGACAGCGAAGGCCTTTGCTTATTAAACATCTGGAAGTCCACCAGCATTGCTTAAATCAAGCCTGGCTCTGCTGATGAGACTGATATGCAGGCTGTTGTGGGTTCGACCCTGACTCTGATGCCTGTATATTTGCAGTTTGCGTGTTCTCTCCGTGGTCACGTGTATTTTTATCCGGGTCCTCCGATTTTTCGCTCCACATTGTTCATCAACATCACGCATTTATAGTATTTCGGCTGCTATACATTTCCACACTATAAGCCACTTCGTCGAGCTGTCATTTGTGGCCATGTCGCTTCTCAAAAAGAGCTGCATAGCTCTGTGGGCCTTACATAGTAAACTAAAAATCGTGAAAGTCATAGTAGTAGACATGGAAAGTCAAAACTCATCCGGATTTCCCTGCTGCTTTTCGACGAGCGTCCTGTGTGTGCTCCTCCCCCGTGTTGAGCTTACACCGTGTGCCCTGTGCCAACAGGCCGGCCTCGTGTTGCGCCGCACGTGGTGACCATTGCTTCTTGTGTGCACGCAGGTCCCATGCAAGGGATGGGTATGAACATGGGCATGGAGGCCCAGTGGCACTACATGTGACCGATTGCGATTCCACGTGAGTTCTTAGCATCTGCACCCACATTTTCCTTCTACAATTGATTTAACAAACAAAACACACACACAGACTTTCTGTCTCGGTGTGGGACATTCCTCTTGCACACTCACACAACACTCAGCATGCTACATTCAACATACAACACTCAGCATACAACACCCAACATACAACACTCAATGTACATGCCACATGTGTTGCTTTTTTTCATTACCATTGCCCTAAGGTTGGCTAAATTGGCACTACACACAATCGCAATCACAGCAGGAACAGGTGCTGAGTCACCTATATGCCGCACAGGGACAGCTGCCACTTGGGGTGCCCCTTTCAAATGGGTTGAGATTGAAAGAGGTGGCTCTGTCAAAAGAGATTTAACATAATTGTAATTTTTATTATAGCTATTTTCCAATTTACCTGCAATTGTAAGGATGTTTTACACTGACAACATTTGCACTGTTAGTTAATATAGAAATTAGTTAACGTGAAGTACTTTTGACGATTTATCTGAACAATTCTTGTACGTATGGGGAGGGAAATCTGTAGCGCACCGAGGTTGTACACACACCCCTGAGTGAGCAACCGAGCCTTGAGAGTAGAGCCGGGGTGCAGCTGATTTGGTGTGTGCAGCATGAGCACGTGAGTTCGAATCCGAGTCGGCGTGAACTCGCGCACACAGATTTATCACGGTGTGCCGACTCACCACACCACCGCTCCACCCACGTGCAATTTTTACACGCGTGTCGAAAATGAAATGAACGAACATCATGCATTCGGACGAGGCGTCAAACCGAACCGATGATATAATCCTAGACATAATCAGGCATTCAAACAAGATGACGCCTTCCAGTGTGTGATGCACGATAGCCTTCAATTGGTTCAACCCAACAGTCGCAAGTGGCTATGAAAAGTGCGACGTCAGCTGTGGTCGTGGTGCAGAATCGCAACGGGCCGTGAAACGTCCCTCAACCCTGGCTCGGCGATGGCGCCACGTGCCCACCACTTGCCCACGTGACTGGGGGAGACCCTTGGAACTTGGTTTTTGTTCTCCCCACCTGTTCATTAAGCACTGCTAATCCACGCATTGCTGAACGCCGTCACAAAGTCGCCGTGTAATGACGACTTGACACGCTTCTCTTGAGATGGCACTTCACTGAGGAAGCGTTTTTTCACTTGACATCAGGCGCAGACCCCCGCTGCAACAGCCGCGAGTCTCCCGTGCATCTCCCCCACGCATCAACACGAGGCCACGCTCCCCCTTCTCGATCATTCTCGCCGACTCTGGACGCTAGCTGCACCGACAGATTCCACCGTCCTCTTCCGTCACCTGGCCACACTCCCTTCTCGATCATTCCCGGAGCCACCGGTCCCTTCGCGCTCACAACTGATACCCCTGTCGTTACCTCCCGTGGCCACTCGTCCATTCACAGCGTATGTAGGCTCTCCTGTCGTGACACACGCATGAAATGGTCGCAAGTAACTGGAGGAAAAGGCGGTGGTGGGGGGGTGGGTGTCGTTATTTATTAATTTATTTTGATTGCTTTCCGGATATTATTTTTTTAATGGGCATAAAATTACACCAATTATTTAAATTAAACACCCCGCTATTTTAACAGCGGGATTAAATGAATTGGAACCCGTGAGCTTTCATTAATGCCTTCACCTGCAGGCGGCCCCGCACGCCGGCCCCGCATTTAATGAGGGAGGAAAAAGATACGAACGCAAAAAAAGGGGCCGCTGTGCTTAAAACCGCGTTGATTAAAAAGTGTCCGATACGCAGCTGTTTATCCGGCTCCATCCGAGATGGTGGGTGCGAGCCCCCGCTTTCGCCCGCTGCAACTCGCTCGCACGAGACCTTCCAGGATGTGGCCTGGAAGGGGCTGGCGGGGGGAGATGCCATCGCTCAGTTTAACACGCGGTAGGCTCTCGCGAGTAAATGTTATCCACAAAAGGGGTTTTTTTTCGTTAACCCAAAAAACTCTTTTGTGGACGGCATCGCTCTTTAGAAAAGGGAAACGGAGGGCATAAAAAGGGGCTCTCGTTGTTGGTGGGCAGCATTGATTGAGAGGTGCATTTTTGCTTCAAAATGTAACATTCCCAGGTCGGACCTCACTCACATCTATTCAGACTTGCTCTGGCTCATCACTATCAAAATTCTCTATCCACTGTGCTGTGGAACTCTGCCAAAGGCTGTCTCAGTGAATCCGCTTAAGTTGGCATCTTGAGGTTCAACCTAAAGACATGTTTTGTTCAGATGGTGTTTTCTACTTGAACTCACAGCCACTTCTTACCCCCCCCCCCCGTCCCATTGTTATAACACGCCTTTAGATTTTCATAAAGACGCTACATGATCTGTAATTTATTATTATCAATGAGTCAGGTGTAACTATGAACGTTCGACTCACACTCCCAACGTTGGAAGTATTGGTCAAGGGTTCCTTGAGCCCTTCATCCCTCCGCCGGGATCAGTACAATGAATGCCACTTCATGGTCAACAGTTCTTTTACCGATCAATTTATTGGCACCTGCCATAAGAATCTGCAATTTCCACCGCTGGTTCGTGGCCATAAACAGAAGTACCTATTTTGTTTAAATGGGGAAATGCTTAGAGATGTATATATGAATGTTAAAAGGGGTGGCATAATTCGCCCTTGACAGCCAGAGCCCCACCAGTAACCCTGCGTGTACCCCCCCCCCGTCCCCAGGTGCCCGACGGCTAATTATGCATCTCATTTGCATTGTACGCTATGCTGAGCCACATTATAATGGCATTACGTACACTTTTAGGACAGCGTTCCCAGAGACTATAATAAATAAATAAGGCCGGCGCGCGAGGGAGGATGTGACTGCCCGTGATTATGAGTAAATCACTTTATAATTACGTTTCATCTCTGCGGGGGCCAAAATCATTTGCTAAATATGAGGAAACATTGTCGATCTCCCGTAATAAATGGAAATGTGTGTGGGTGGGTTTTCCTTTCTTCCCCCCTTCAGTATTTATTGTCGCCAGCATGTGCGCGTGTGTGTGTGTGTGGGCGCGTGGGCTAGCAAAAGTTACAACATTGATTCTCATCATAGCCCATGTCGTTCTGGGGACGTGGCCACGTTGTGATAGTTTTATTTATTTCATTTCCCCTCCCGCCTCCGCGCTTCAATTCAATTTGTCCAAAACCAGAGACCTTGCTAACGTGTAGTGGGGATCATTGCTACCACCGTGGCATTAACGATTTATTTTAAAGAGTACAACAGGGAATGTATTGACTCGAGAGGGCCTGGGTTCATTGTCGGACCAATAGCCAGATTCTGCGGAAACGCTCCGGAATTATTATTTTTATCACAGTTGCTGAGCACAGGCCCACGGCCTATGCAACAAAACAAATATAAAAAACTCTCATGAAAGTATAACACGTACGAATTAACACATTTCTTGAATTCGTATGTGATGAACTATTGTATAAGAAAGACTGCGCACTCTCGGTAAAGCTGACCTTGATTATAAAAGATCAAATCCCAGTGTGCCTCAAGAATGCGTTTTGCAATCAGTGCGTACGAACCGATGTGACACACGATTCAGAAGCGCGGCCGTTGATTGAAACACGTACATACGGAAACGAAAACTGATGAGTGCGCAAAAAAAAAGGCGGAGGAAAAAGCGCGTGCACACGATAACGACATGAATCAAACTGATAATTGATCATTGGTTTGTTACCCTTTTATCTGGCAACAAAACTGACACCTTTTTTTTACAAGGAGTCATGTTTGCATTCACCACAATACCTGCAGTCGGAATGCAAACAAAAAACACAACTCTGATAATATATGCACTGTCTTTGAAATTGATTGGTCCACACCCGAGACAGCTTTCCTTAGAGCCTAGTCTCACATGGTGTTGGACCAGATGACGCCAAAAGACGCACAACTCAAAGACAATGCACCATCAGAGTATGAGAGCTCGGGGTAAGCATTTATATTTTGCTACTGGCAAAGGAGGTTCCAATGGTGATGAATCGAACTGTTAAGGAAAGTGAGTGGACTTGGTCAGGACGCATCACTCGAAGAGAATGGCGGCCAGGGGTCCAAGACTAATACTGGAATGGTTGCCAAGGCATGGAATGGCTCCAAGGGGGTATCCGCAAAGGAAATGGAGTGATACAATCATTTCGGGAGCAGGTGCTGGGTGGATTACTACATCGCAGGATCGTGAGATGCAGCAGTGGCTCGGGAAGGCCTTCGTCTAGCAGTGGATAGACCACGGTTGCTGCTGCTGCTGCTGATGATGATGATAAGAACCGACTGAGATCAGCATTTATATTGCAACGGACACTCGGGGAGCAAATACTATACGGGCAAAATCCAAACAGTTTAACACGTAGGCTTTCGCGACCAATATCACCCATAATAAGAGGGGTTTTTTTGGGTTAGAGCACGTAAAAATCCAAACACGTGGTCACGCAGCGAGAGCAGGAACAACATGCAAAGTGCAAATAAGCGAAATCATAAAGGGTAGTAAATCGAATTTATTTCAGCCGTAAAAGATGATATGGTGGAGCTCCGTAATGCAGGCGCGAGACACGGGAAGCTTTAACACATCCCATAACAACAACAATAGTAATGGCTTGTGGGTGCCAGCGCGATGAAAAACGCTTCACATTTCAGAGCTCAGCATGTTCAATGTGTTTCTGTTTAACTGCGCTGCACTAAGGGCAATCTAATGGTGCGCATATTTTTTTTACTTACACGGCAGACGCCCTGTAAAGGTATTTCCGAGGCTTTGAACGCACGCACGGCGCTTAGTGCGATGAGGCATATCGCTGGTGGAGCGCCTTCGGCAGGCCACCGGCAGCTGTTGTCACCCCAAACAATCGTGTTTATTTTATGGAGCTGATTTCACAGCTATCGCTTAGAATACACCTTGCTTAAACGTAGAGGTTTAAAAAGAAACGCACACACACACTCGTTACGGAGTAGGCCAAGCATCTCCATGCAGGAACGTGATTTTAAAAAAAGACACTTAACCAACAGACCACTCGCATGTTATTTATCAAACACTTTAATTTATTGAACGTTGATATTGAACGGCGGTGCCATGAACCCGGCGATCTCGGTTCGATTCCCGATATCCGAACCTGTGCTGTCAACCAGCAGCGTGGTGAAGTATGCTCAAAAGACGCCATGACGGGTCACGGCGTGAGAAGACCTCTGTCAATCACCCGAATGACAAAAGGGTACAGTCTTAATAAAGAGAGCGCTGAGAACCGACACAGCGTGTTGCAGTGTCTATGCGTTGGAGCCAGACTTTAAATCAGATATGGAAGGACTTTACCAAAGTATCACTGGAAGAATGTTCCATAATCTCAAAACAAACTCGGTAAGCCCCCCGTCAAGCAGGTGAGCCAGGGGACTTGGCTGAAGTACATTTTACGAGTCTGTCCCTTCGAAAAAATATAGTTGTTCAACACGTGAAAGCAAAGGAACTCCTCAACAGCTGCAAGTGTGTGTGTGTGTCGATCTTGGTCGCTCTTCTTTCCCATATTAGGAAGCTACTAGAGCTATAAAATGTAAAATCATCTCGATTGAAAACTCATTTTTTTAGAACTGCTCTTTGTGTTTAGTTTGGTGTCCTTCCCCCGCACCTCCGATTAGTACGGTTGGCTACGTACGGTGCGAAATAAGTTCAACATATGTACGCATGCATGTGTTATCAATAAATCTGTTGAACGTGTGTCTGTGTGCACATGCAGGTCATTCAGCCTCCACTGCCTTGCGATGTGGGCCAGCGTACATCGACGCTGCTCAACGCCCCCTCCCCCTTTCTCTCCACCTCCCTCCGTCCATCCCCTCCGTCCTGCTCCGTCCTCCCGACCGCCGACGCAGCTCCTGCATCGTCACACGTCGTACATTCCTAAACACGCACGAACCCTCGAGCAAGACGGCCCAGGCGACTCCGAGGCCCGGCGACGGCCTGACGGCAAGGGCCCGAGATCCCCTCGCCGTCGTCGTCGTCGTCGTCGCCGTCGTTTTCCAAGCGTTCCGTCCGTCGGAATCTGCCGGCCACGCTTTGTGATCGCGGGGAACAAAAAAAGCCATCGTCCTCTTAAACGCAACACTCGAGAAGCACCGTGCGGCACATTCTCTATTCCTTTCCGCGCGGTGCAAGATGCTGACTTAAATTTTGAGTTAGAAAAAAAGTAGATGTGTGGATGTGCGATGACATAGAGAACGTGCCCCACCGGTAAATCTTTTGCCCATTCGACAGTGTCAAGTAAAAGTAAACAGGCAAAAGTTACTGCCCATCTTTTTCTTTCTCCCAGCACCCCAGTGACTTTGGGTTGAAAAAGCGGCGCTCTAACGGATGACATTGAAGGGGGTGGGGGTGGTGTGAGTCCTGGCGAAGATGACGGGAGGAGAAGTTCCCCTTGCTTGAGGAGACGTGGGCAAGCCAGCGGCATGGAGGCGCTCCGCCTGATGGCTCCTTGTGCCCCGGCACCGCCGGACTGGACTCACGACGGAGGGGGTGGAGCACCTCGGACCCACACTGGGGGGGAGTCGGGGGGGGGGGGTGGGGAATGATTCCCGTGATCCCCACTGCGCCGTGACCCCCACTGCGCCGTGACCCCCACGAGTCCTTGACCCCCCCCGCCCCCTTCCCACCAACACGAGACGACGTCGCCAAAAAGAAAGCGTGGACTCCCTCACTTTTTCTCGGAGATTATTTAAGTGAACGACTTTAAGGAGGAGGTGATTGCATTACGTAAATAAACAAAGGGTGGATAAACGTCCGTGCTATAAACGCTGTTGTGCCGTAGTGTGATGACGGAGAAGGAACTAATTTATATATATACCCCCCCCCCCCCGCTTCGGTGCGCCGTATCCCCACCCACCACCGTGAGCGCAGCGAGACGTGTGTCGATCGCTTTGTCTTTGGTTCCACACTGTGTGTGTCGTGCGTCCCGCGTCTCGAGTGTGAGCCAGGACCCCCACCCCCCTCCTCCCGCTCCTTCTCTCGCGTGTACTGATCATTCTCAATCGCCTGTAATGTGCGTCTGCGCGTTTTTATTCTCTTGTTTCCTTTTCTCCGTCGCCCGCCGTCATGAGCGTTGGGATTGTTGCACTGCGCCGGCGACGCGGCGCCTGCGAGGGCCCCGTATCGTCGACCACGGTGGGATGTGGGGTGGACACAAGCTGTTGAGATGATGTTTTCCTTCACGCGCCCCAACTTTGTATTCGGAACTCACTGTTGACATTTCGGTTCACGACGTTTCTCATCATTTTACCCTTAACTGCTTTGGAACGGGGAAGCAGCAAAAAAGTTATTTTACAAAAACACATTCTTCGCGGGAGGCATAACCCTTTGCCACTGTTGTAGCGTTTGTAATTGTAATGTACATATAGACTAGGGGACGTTAAGCAAATGTGACCAACCTAACGTTGGTGCACCCGTAACAATATCTCATATATGTTGAAATTTCTGGCTTGAACGTTTGGGCCACACCGTTTTTTTGGACTTGGTGACCCACGCAGAAAAACAAACACGAAGTTCAATAATTTCAAATCATTGACAACATGCGGATAATTACCATCATGTATTCATTTCAGCCGCGTTATAAACACACACACACCAGAATTGATCACAGTGATCTTCAGAATCCCAAATACTGCTCGACACCACTCTTCTTTGCCGTATATCGAGTAATGAGCTAGGGCACGTGATCTTGACATCCATGAGACCACCTCTCGTGGCAGCGTGGGTGGCACCGTCACCAGAGAAGAGTCCCCGATCGATTGCAGGCTCCTAAACGCATTTCTCTTGCTCTGATACCAAGCGGTGCTCCAATTCACGCAGTTTCAAGGAGAGCTGTGCACTGTATGCATGCATGTTGAACTTCTTTCGCACCGTACGTAGCCCAAGGTGCTAATCTACCATCGTCCGATTAAGGCTCTCGCGAGATAGGCTAGGCCAAATTAAACGACCGCCCAACATTTTACAGGGTGGTTTTTTAAATTTAATTTGTGAATTGTAACAGGCTATTGCGATGAACCCACGACTCGCCTGCATAAACCACCAAGGCTGCTGCGTTGTTAATATGACACCGGACCTTTGTAAATTGTATTCACTGAATGTTCCAGTGCAAGTTAAAGTGTCTCCCTGTGCTCAAGTGAGCAATGATCGTGTGCCACACGTCTCTCTGTTCCTCTGGTTGGGGGGAGGGGGGGTCACTCTTCAGAGGACGACCGATGCTGACCATTCACAAGTGGCACTCATTGCACGGACGCCATCGGCAGGATCGCCGTTGTTTTAACATTTTGTGGTTTTACTCTCCAACACACCGGTGGGCTGAAGTAGTAACAATTTAGTACGTTTTGTTTACGTGACAAATCGTACTGATTGGCTGTGTCGGGTGGTAGCGGGTTAACGACACATTTATACTTACGCAATCTCACCCAAAAAACCTTTCTTGTGAATAATATTGTTCGCGAAAGCCTCCTACGTGTCAAACAGGATAGGCAGATCTTAAATTGAAGCTTTCGTGACTGCAGGAATCCATACTCTTTGGTTCTTTCGGTAAAGTCACGTAGGTATAAAATAAAATAAATCACGACGTGACTTTACCGAAAGAACCAAAGAGTTAGGATGGCCATAGTTGGACCCTTATCTAGAATTTGAAGTTGTTACCCTTTTCATCGTAAGTTCAGTCACTTTGATAATGGCATCAGCCATCTGTGAGCATTAACGACAGAAGTGGCAGGACTGTGAATTGAGGTCCGGTGGTTTTAGCCATTGTCAGCGCCTCTCCACGTGAGTTCAAGCCGCGTGAAAATACTAAAGACGAAACCTCAATGCCCGTCGTATGGCCACCACAGTAATCGCTTTTGCAAGAGGCACCGATGTGCCAATCGTTGCTTTGAAACAAAATACCATTTTGTCGTGGGAAAATATTGAATACTTTTTAAAGTTCTGATTTGGAATTTGAAACGAGGCGCTGTGGCCTGTTCTTGAGAGCGATGTCACCAGGGGGTCCGGATGCGTCACCGTGCAGCAGCAGCTGGTGCCTGGTGCAGTTTGGGGTCGTTTTCACGCGCCGTGTCCTGGGCGGGTGCAGGCATAAAGCCATTGGCTCTGCGAAGCTCGGCAAGAGCTGGCCGCCCGGCTATCTGGGTATCATTTCTCTACACAGTATCCCAATACGCGCACATTCATGCATTTGCTACGTACACACATACACAAAGACAAAGATCCCCCGTATAGCCTGTAACAGACTGTTGGGGCAAGTGCTGTTTGAGAGCACCTGTGATGGCCGACAGCACATGACGGGGTGGGTGGCCAGTATCTATGCCTGTACACACATACATACACACATACATACATACACACATACATACACATACATACACACATACATACACACATACACAAGGGGCGCCACGACCTATTTCAACGGGGGGGGGGGGGGGGGGGCTATGCAAGATACGACTGTGCCCCCTCCCTTGTTTCTCCCGACTCACTTTCACTGAAATAGCTACCGATGTTTTTAACCCTGTATACATTTACATTTGACGGTATTCCTATTAATAAACAAAAACGATGTGGTGGTGCAATGCTCACAATTAACTTATCGTGCGTCTTCATTGCATGCCGGCACCATCGGTCGAGGATTTCCTCAAAAGGGGGTGGTGGATTGCGCAACTTCACGCTTGTTTCTTGCTACTAACGCCAGACGCGTTAATCCGGCTTGATCCACGGTAGCACCGGCTGTTGATTTTGAACGAATATACATTTTTTGTTAACACTCATTTTGTCTTAACATTGTTTTTGTACTTTGTTCATCTGTTCATTCTGGGGCCCCTCGTTGCCAACTGGGCCCCTATGCGTCGAATATCGCTGCCACATCCCCCTATCGTGGTTGCGTCCCTGCACATGCACACATCACGTTCACGTGATCCAAGTGAATGAGTCCAGTGAGATGACACATCTTGCTTTTATGTTCAGCTTTGGGGGTTGGGAAATCTAAATAGGCGTACGTCGCATTCAAATTAATTTCACATGATGTCAGCGTGTCGAGTGATGTGGTGTCCTGTATTTTTACATCCGTTGCCCGCGGAACAACATGCACTGTGTGCATGCAAAACAACGCAGGGGATTAATTGAAAGAGCGAGATGTTGCAGCCCAAGCTGGGCTCTTCGTCGTCGACGTGCGCTGTCCCCACCGTTCTGTTCACATGATCCCAGGAACTTGACGTTTACTCTACCGCCCAGTGAACAGTACCTCAAACTCGTCGTTAATTATAAATAATAATACTTTTTTTCAGTTATACCGAGCTAAATTCCCCAGCAACTTGCATCACGTGACATCTCAAACATTCGAAGGGCACCACCCCCCAGTGGCTGGCAGCTGTCCCTCTGTGTGGCACACGGCGACTGAGCGCCGGCCTGCAAAAGGGAGCACGTACCTGCCAGTAGTGGGCTAAGATTGTGATGTGTAAATCTCAATTTGGTTTTAATTTGAAAAGTTTGGACCATAACGCCAGCACACAATGGCCTTCTCGTTTTGAGTCAGAGGATAGCCAACCACGATCTCCCGATTAACTATCGTGAATGTCAACTGGTAAGGTTCACGTCCACTATGTTTGATACGCACGCCGCGGTATTAACCAGGGCGGGCTGCCGGATTCGAACCGCGAACCTCTTGCTTCACATGCGGCGAATGCGCCACCGCCGAGCCGCTGTGCGAGCGAGGTGACTGTCGGTGTCTATAAACGTTGTGCTCAATCGGCGTGCAACTCTGCGTGACATTTTTCACAGCAGTGGCATCAAAACAGCTGTCGCAAGAACCAGCAAAGTGATGTGCGATGCATGCCGTGGTTTTTACCTCGAGCGGTGGTGCCCCGCGTGAAGATAGTTGCAATATTTACTCAACGCGCACTGGCAGTATATATATACATAATTGTGTGTTTCATCCTGAACTGCGATTCTCCCCGATGCTATAATTGAAGGATTTGTGATTGCTGATGTCGCGTGTGCAGCACCAGCTGGCTCTGTCGATGCCGAGGTGTCGTGGTTGGCGTGGCCGCTGAGACACTGAGCACGAGCTCAGTGTTGGCACTCTTTGTCGAGCACGGTGGGCTACGTACGGTGCGAGAGAACCTCGACGCAGTATGTGCGCGCAATATTTGAGGCTCGTTTGACTTTGGCAATGGCGTGGTTATTTATCAGAGCTGTAAAAATTCGTACATTCGCATCTGTGCTCCCGTTCACATGATTCAGTGGCACGTCGATTTAACGTTTATAAACGTTGGCAGTGTTGGGTTTTTTTCCGTATAATTAAAGGTTTGTTGCTAGCAGGCTGTAAATTTATTCCATGTAATGGAAATATCTCATAATTATTCTTATAGGAGGTGTTTGCAACAATATATTTTTTGCCAAAGCATAATACATAGCTGGCGAGTAGGGGCTAACGGCTTGCCTGGCTATTTTGATCTCCCCCAGTGATAATGTCCACACACTGCACCAGGTGGTCATTTGAGGCTGTCTCTTTTGCGGAGGGCCCACGGCTTGTCGAGATACCACTCTGTCACTGATATTATCCACGGACGGGAGTTAAACTCAGGTGTCCAGAGATCATCAGCAAAGTGTGCTGCTACACGTTACGTCACCGTCAACCCCAAACAAAATGGCGCACACACGCAGACGCACAGCACAGCTAAAAGACTTCACGTCGAATGATCTACTTGTGCCTCGGGAATGAGAGGGCAAAACAGGCACGAAGCGATCTTGCGTTCACAGTTGGAGATGTGTGTAAATTCTGATCAAAAGCTGGTGAACTCAGCTACAAATAAACGATAAACAATTTTTACTTTACCAAGAAAGGCACGATGAGCTATATAGCTCTTTTTCAGAAGCGACCTGGCCACAAATGATAGCTCAACGAAGTGGCTTGTCACGTGGAAATGTATAGCAGTCAAATACTCTAAACGCATGTTGCTACTAAATGTGGTTGGAAAAACTCGAGGACCCGGAGAAAAATCCACGCGACCACCGAGACAGAGACACGCAACTCCAAATATAAAGCAGGCGTCGGGGTCGAACCCAAACTCAAGTGGTGTTTGTAACTCATAAACACATTGGTTTGTGTGTGTGGCTGAGGATATGGATACGTGACGAGTGGATGGTAAGGCTCATTGACTGAGCAAAGCATTTCCTGCCAAACATACAATTAACTCTAAATCCATCCCACCTTTGAATCTTAAATCAGGTTTCTTGCACAAAGATATATTGAGGTGGTGCTTATTTCCTGCTTACAGCCCAGAGCCAGTGGTGGAAATTCTTCATTCCTATGGCTGGAGCGAGCCTATCGATAGGGCAACCACTGCTGAGTTCACAAAGTGGTACTCATTGTATTTACCATGGGAAGCTGATAGGCTGAGTCAAGACTGGGTTTGAAGAAAACAAACAAACGAAGGCGTACTCACTTTACCAGTGCACTCTCCCTCGTCTCGGCATGCTCTCTCCACTCTCTAGGACAGTAAATCCCATCCATGGCTACAGGCTGATAACACAAATATTGTCTACAATGCGGGTGGTGGTGGGGGGGGGGGTTGTTATTGTGTTTGGGAGTAAAAAAAAAACAACCCTTAACGAACAAAACATGTTTTTTTTAAGTTTAACAAGAGGCAATTCTGTTTCTGGGGAGATTTAGTGCTATACCATGCATGCATATATCCATATGTGTGCACACATACAAACATGTAAAACGGTTTAGAATACGGTGTAGCATGACCTCTTTAGCTCATGGGCCACCCAGCGGTTGGTTTTGACTTTACTTTGTCTCGTCAGCGAAGAGCAGCCCGTAAAAAAAATGCCACTAAGAAGTGGCAGAATGCCATTTTAATGCAAATGTCTCCTAAGAATCACCCGGAGATATCGAATATGAAAGCCAAGTGGAGGCAAAGTGTCTCCCTGCTCAAACGAGCAACGAGGCGTCATTCGCCACCTTCTGTGGCCCTCAGCCAGTGGTGGAAACTCCACATTCCCCTGGACGAGGCTGGTCTCTCCATGACACGATCACTTTTGTTGGCGTTCCACAAAGTTGTACTCGTTTTTAATGACCGCGGGAATCGCACGCTTGAGTCGGCCCCCCAACCGGGATTTGAACTTGTGACCTTGCAATTGTGATTCAGCAACTCGATGCGTTTACGACATTTTTTTTCTTTCAGTGGCTTTATTCAAACTTGTCAATTTCATCTCCTCACAAAGCAAAACATGTACTTCGAACTGTATGTTTGTGTGGGCGCACGGCAACAGATACGCGTACTCGCACTGAACCTTTGCGTCGTACTTAACGGCCGCCAGAGGAGAGTGCTGTTTGTGATTTTGGAGAAGAGATTTGGCGAGCCGGCGGTACGAAAACTTTTGCATCCTGTGGCGGGACCCCGACGTTACGTTGCCAGGAGTGAGGTCCAACCGTTGTACCAATGTTGCATTGATTTTTCTGGTGTACGGGACATCGTGTATGGCATTCATTAGCTTCACTTGTACATAGCAGTGGATGTTGAATACTGTAATATAGAGACGACACGGAACATTGCACTGGCGTGTCATCTTTGATTCTTTGCAATTTGTCTTCAATGTTAATGCTATCGTCGCTGCTTTTTTTTCCATGTTCTGTACGTCTGGATTTCGTTGTTGGAGTTTGGCCACGTGTGTTAATAATTGTTTGGCTGCACATATAAAGTAAGACCCTCTGCATGGGACCAGCAACAGGAGCCCATACTCATTGTAGGGGTGGATATAAGCTGTCAAGGACCACAGTGTTTATTCCCCTCGTGACTGTCCACTGCCAGTAAGAGTTTTGATCATGAAATGAAAAACGTTATTTACAACTGGCACCACGAGCTGCCTGGCAGATTGAAACGGGAAAAACAGAAATACAACGATTTAAATTGCCAGCAATTACATTGTTGAAGGCTTGTACAACAATGTGAGAACTCAGGATTACAACGATGAAATTAACAAGTAGCACGGTTGGCAGACATCTATGTATCTAAGTTTAACTTATTTCGCACCGTACGTTGTCAACCGTGTTCATCGGAGGTGCGGGGGAAGGACAACAAACTAAACTAAACAGTTTTAAAGAAATTCGTTTTCAATCTAGATTTAAAAGTGCATAGCTCCAGTGGCTTCCTAATATCGGAAGGAAGAGCGTTCCAGACGGCCGTCAAATCGCATCTTTTAGCGCGTGAAGCAGGGATCGTCTTTGTTGGATGGCCGGTGCTCGTGTGAGGGTTTCTACTTCTTGACGAGATCAGCAAGGTATCGTGCTTAATTTGTGGCACTTTGTGTGTAATGAGTGCCACCTTACACAATGGGCATGCGGAGGATAACGGCTTCTTCCTGCATCTCCGCACAAGCAACATTCAACACTGCTTAAACTCGGGCTCTTCAGTCTTTCCCGTTGAAATGCAGTCTCATCATCCCAAGTCTCTCATCACAAGAGTCCACACTTAACAACTTTATTTCACCGTGCAGTGAAAGGAGTTATTTTTTCTTCCTTCTTTAAAATCCACAATATAAAAGATGAAAATGGAAGACCGCCAATGAGAGCTCTGCCCTTTTGGCCAGGTGCATTCCAGCTACTCATCGGAAGACAGAGAAGACATTTGTAAGGCACGTCCCACGGGTGAGTACACACTGAGTACAAACACGTATGAAAAACTAGAATAGGTATTAGCTTTCAGGCAAACAAAGATGCTCTCATAGTATATGCATTGTCTTTGAAACTGATTGGCCTATACCAGAGACCACCTTTATGGCCCAGTATCACCAGTGTCAGAGCAGAGAACGCCTAAAGGTGAGCAGGACAAGAACAATGCCACTACCAGAGCATTTACAGCTCGGGGTGAGCAGCTGTATCGTGGAACCTTTTTTTGACAGTATCAAAGTATGAAAAACAAGAATAGTTGTTGCAATTTCTGGCAACAGAACGGGCTGCGTGTGCGTGCGGCAACGGTGTTCGTGTGCGACGACGGGGGCTCACTTCCCATTGTACTCGTTGACATTGACATGCCAATCTCTCTCCCTTTAACGCAGCTGCTGTGCCTGCGTGCGGCGATGGGACTCCTTTCCATCTCTGACCCCGCCTACTTAGGGGCCGTCCATTAAGGACGTCACGCATCTAGGGGGGGGGGTCGGACATTTGTGACGAGGGGTGGGGTTTGAGAAGTGTGACGTCACATCAAAATGCGCAACTTTAAATAAATCTAGAATTGTTAAAACAACGCTAATTGTTATAACAACGCTCCTACAACATCAGAGTGCAGTGCCACATTAAATACGCGCTACAATGACAATAGTTTCAAGCGATTTGAAGCATGTTTTATTTTCAAAACGTAAATATGTTTTTTTTTTAGGGGGGGGGGGAGCAGAGCTTTGTGACTTCATATTTGAGGGGGGTCTGACTTTTTGTGACGCCGTGTGACGAGGGGGGCGTCAAGAATCGTCCAAAATCTCATGACGTCATTTATGGACGGCCCCTTACCCTTGGGTGACACCCACCTCAAACCTATATATAACCTCTTGTTGCAGCAGCAACAGCAGTTCTACTGCTGTATCTTTCCACCTGATGACGCTTGCGATCGAAACGTCGTGGTTTATTATACATGTTTCTACCCACGTGACTTCACCGAAAGAACCAAAGAGAACAGAACAGGTGTTACGATGTTCAAACACCAAATAGATGTTGGTTTGCATGTTCACCACAAGCACGTGCGGTTAATGCAGACTTGATTCCGTACAAGATGTTTGAACATCTCAACACAATCCTGTTTTATTGGCAGAAAGGGTAAAACCCATTCTTGTTTTTCATAACTTGATGCTGGCAAAAAAGGTCCCATGATGTGAGTACAAACACCACTGCAATTATGCCCCCCCCCATCTCTCTCCAAGTCCCCCACACATGGAGTGTTGCTGCTCTCGGCCGACCGGGCGTTCTCTACGGCAGCGCAGCGAGTGACGACAGATGCGAATGTTAATCGTTTCAGCTGTGATGAACAAAAAATGGTCTGTGTTCGTTTGCCGATGAGACAAAAGATAGCATGGTGGGCGCCACAGTGGCAAGATGTTAAACTACCTCGCATAGTGTACAACAGGTCGTGGGTTCGATGCTAACTCTGTCGCCTGCTGTATATTTGGAGTCTGCATGTTCTCCCCGTGGTCGCGTGGATTTTTCTCCGGGTCCTCTGGTTTTTCCCACCACATTTAGTAGCAACGTGCGTTCAGAGTATTTGGCTGTAATACATTTCCACGTGGTAAGCCACTTCGTTGAGCTATCATTTGTGGCCAGGTCGCTTCTGAAAAGAGCTATATAGCACAGTGGGCCTTACCTGGTAAAATAAAAAAAATTATAGTTTAGTTTTTTGAAAATCAGAATTGTGCATCATGCTGCTTTACAAACTATTATCGTCAGCCATGTTCTATCGACTGCTAGTTGAAGGCCTCCCGCAACGTTCCCGCAGGAACGCCACAATCCGTCTCGCTCCCGCACGTGAGTTGATCCCTTTGTTCCATCTCCGTAGGGGTTGTCTTCTGGGGCACAGGCACCAGACTGGGCCATCTGCCATCATGCCCTGCTGGACAACGGGTTGTACCCAAGCCCACTTACTTGAGTCTCTGATTGGCATTTATTCGCACGTAGACATATGTTGATTAATGTATAATGTGACGTATAACGATTGCCTTTATTTAATAACGCCACATGCCCATGGGATTGTATAGTTAAAATTCAACCAGGAATATTGTTGTATTTCTATAGACTGGAAAAATCCGATAAGCTACGAATCTCTTATTCGCAGATGTACAATGCACTTCCTCAAGTTGCCCTCCCATTGCTCCATTGTCGAGGGTTTGCCTTAAACACAACAACAACAACAAACCCCATCCTTGTGCGGTCGAATGAAACCACTTTGACTGTACACGGCGGCACAAAATCGCCACCCTGTTCCCTGCACCCTGCACCCATCGCACAACCCATCACATTTATTCTAGATTTGAAGCTTTCGTGACTGCAAGGATTCATACTCTTAGGCTTTTTCGGTAAAGTCACATAGGTAACAATAATATAAAAATAAAATTAATAAAATGAATTATCTTATTTCTATTATTACTTCTATTAATTAATTTATTTTACCTACGTGACTTTACCGAAAAAGCCTAAGAGTACCATCACACTGAACCTTCTCCCCGTCTCGGCCACGGACCTACACCTGGCGCAGGCCACGCGGCGGAAACAAGCCTCAGATCGGCGCGGCGCGTCCGCCTACTTGGATGTCTGCCGATGCCCCCGGCGTTTTTTGTTGTTGTCCGGGCTCGTGGAAGGCGATCGCAAACAGCGCCGAATGCCCCCGGAGGCAACCCCGTAGCACGCAAATGAGCCGTTGCCCTGCCGCCGTCGGGGCGCTGAAGAGCCGCGGGCAAACTCCCAACCTCCCTGCGCACCTCGGCACGCTGAGACAATACGACAGGTCACAGCGGCGCCACGCGAGAATTGACTCCCCCGCTGAGCCAACCGAAGCTTCCACGCCAGCCTTGCGCCGAACAATTTCCCCGCCGCCCCCCCCCCCCCGAAAAACCCCACAAGGGTGTTCAGATTTTATGCCGAGCCCGAGCGTGAGTTGGGAAGCGTAGCGGACATAGCTGCCCCTATCGAATTCGGCAGATAGATGCGATGCGTGTTGACAGTCCGAATGCCGCCGCTTGGCCTTGCTCTGGAGCTTAATGTGCCGTCAGATGTAATGGGTAGGCATCATCGGCAAAAGCATGTCTTGTGTCAGGGTCTCATTATCCCGTAACACTCCGCCGCCTATGTATGTTTTCATCTTGGTGCGCGTTAATGGATTTTAAATTTTAAAATTACCTACAATGGCTCATTTGTAACGGCGGTTAATTCCTCCCAGCAGGAGCTGGACAACCCCCTAAATGAGTGAAATAGAATGCATTCATCTCGTCGGATCAATATCCAGAGACGTCGTTGCAAATTAATGCGGCAAGGACCTGGTAATGGAACTCAATCTAACGCTTAGTCCCATTTTTTAAAACAGGATTCACATTAGCGGAGGGTCAATGAATGTCGTATGAACGTATAAAAAAAATCAGTGGAGTTCATACGAACTCAATTGATTTCATAATGTTTGGATGACTATAAGACGCAAAATTAGATTTAGTCCGAGTTTTGTTGCCTAATACATGACAATTGTGTGCAGAGTTATAGAGGTCAGCCCCCCGCAGAATAAAGGTCTTAGTCCAAGAAGAACGTCCCTCTAGTTAATTAAACTGTAGCAAATTGAGGATAAACACATGTTAAATAACTATCAACACCCATGTTCAATCCACTGCTGGATGAAGGCATCCTCAAGCCTGCACCACATTTCACAATCTTGCGATGTGACAATTCACCGATAGCACCTGCACATAAAACATGTAATCGCTGCACATCTATTCCGTTCCTTGGCTACCACTCCGTTCTTATTACCGCGGTAATGATAAATTATCATTTCAGATGTTTGTCAATCTACTGCTGAATCAAGGCCTCCCTATTCTTTGTCGGTC